GGGAAAGAGAGCAGAAAGAAAGGAAGAAGAGAAATAGAGAGAGAAAGGAAGGAAGGAAGGAAGGAAAGAAGGAAGAGAGAAGGAAAGAAGAAAGAAAGAAAGAAAGAAAGAAAGAAAGAAAGAAAGAAAGAAAGAAAGAAAAAGAAAGAAAGAAAGAATAAGAAAAAGAAAAAAAGGGAAAATATTACATGCTAAGAGCTGCATTTCCCATACTGGGGAATAATGTGCTAAAATAAATTAGTGCTGTAGTCATTTACTTAATTCAAATAAGATGTAGCTTTATAGGGTCACAGAATCTGGCAGCCTGGTTCATGGTTGGAAACCACTTAACTGTCATTTCTGCACAGAAAGACTGTGTTGACATTTCCAGACTTTTAAAAAATCCCTGTCAACAGTCGCAAATGCCACCATATTAGGCACGCAGTTTTCCTGTTTCAGGAAGTAGAATTTAGAAGTTCGTGGAGGAAAAAATGTGCCTGGGGGTTCCATTAGCTTTGTATTTGAAAAACACATACATAGAAAAAAAAATGTTGTCTCTGTAGTGTCAAAGTGTCTTTGTGACTCAACTGTTGAAAATTTCTGTTTGGCATTAAGTTGAGTAAACACCTAGTAACCACTTAGTACTAAAGGTGTCTTGGACCTGAAGTTGGCTCTGTAGGTTTTGTCTGTTTCTAAGGAGAAAGTTTCCATGTAATATTTTCAAAGGCAAAAGGTTAAGCAAAAATGACATATATTGTAAAATCGAAAGTAAAAGGCACAGTACTGATGTGCTCAAAGTCCATGCATTTAAATTCCTTTGTATGATAATTTATGGTGATCATGTCTTCAGACTGCACTATTAGCATACTCACCCCTAACAAGAAGTTCTGCCTCATCTGACACACTGTCTGCTGTTGTCTGTACCCTGCAGCCATATCTCCCAGCATGCATCAGAAGGATGTTCCTGATCATTAAATCTGCAGAGGATGCTTGCTGAAAGAGGGATGAAGTGCCAGTTTAAAATGTTGCAAACCTGCCTAGTTCAAGGTGGTTTAAGGGGAACTTTGCATATTCAGTCAAAGGGCCCATTTTTGGCCTTACAATTTATATGACAACAATTCAGAAATCAAACATGCCCTACTTTAAGGAACACATGGAAGCTATGCTTTCAACAATTGCTAATAATGGGTTTGAACATTTAATATTGCATATAATAAGTTAGCAGCTACAATATTTAAAAAATATTTAAATATGCACAAACAAATTCATATCTTTAAAAGTACAGGAAAAATAATCAGTGAGCAAAAATTGTTGCTTTGCTATTCAGAGACAGGATTATTTTTTGTGGCAAGAAAGCATTATTGAAAGGAATAACAACACATGGAAATTAATTATGAGGCAACAGTAGTCAAAAGATTATCTTGTGTGGCTTTATAGAATGGCTGCTTTCGTAAGTACACTGTGGGCAACAGAATGAAGTAGTGCTTAGATGCAAGAGTGCTGGTCCCAAAGCCATGTGTTTTCATTTCACAGAGATTTATTCCTTCCATAACCACCACCATCAGGGGTAGGGTCAGCCTGAATCTCTGTTAATCAATGCAACTACAGAGCACAAAGGTGCCTCAAAACATCTGATCCTTGTTGGAAGCACGATGATTAGAACACATTTGAAGAACAACTGCAGTTAAGGAGATCAATAAGTATCAGGGAGATTATCTTTTAGATGTATCAGTTCATGGGATCAGTGCTGATCCTACATTTTAGTATAACTGGTACAACCTTTCATTACTTAATCTTGTCTTTCATTTACTTTAACAGGAAAGATAGATTTCCATTTTCATGAATATGTAAAGAGCTGATATTTACAACAATGCATGAGGTATTCTTTTCAGAGAATGACATAGTGAAACTCCAATATGCTCTTCAGTTTCCATGTTGCAATCAAAAGCAATTCACTGGAATGAGAGTATTCGCAGGCAGCATGAAATGACATCTTCAAAGAACTCAACACTCCTCTCCAACTGTAGTTGGGCACGTGAAAGAATGTTTAATGCAAGCTATGGAGAAGCACCCCAGATTAGAGATCTTTAATTTGTTGATGGAATGGGTGAATTATCTTAAAAAATGATGCATTTGTCCTTATAGGGCAGTGACCTGATGAGTATTTAAGACTTTTGTTGTTCACCTTTATTTTGAAATAAACTAATGGACTATATAAAAATCATGAAAATGAGAGGAATTTCTGGAAATCTGTTGGATTCTTTTTTTTTTCTTAGTATTTTCTTAGTATTCGTAAAAGGGTGAGAAGTCATTGGAAATTTTTACCTCTCAAATGATGTGTGTTTCTTTAAATGAATCAATTAACTGTATACTATGTTTTAGCCATTTCTTTCTGGTATTTCATTTCTGGTTTGTTTGTTTGTTTTCCTTCCCATTAGTCTTATGATAGGAACTTCTAAGGGTATTGACATTTTCTCTCATGAAATAATTGTTAAGACATGGCCTAGTTCAGTCATTTACAAGGGAATGCTTCTTGGTGAGAATGTATTAAAATGTTATAACAATAATTTCAAGGAATGTGATATTTGTCCAATGAATATCCTCCACTGCTAATTTCCTTAGATAAAATTGTTACTCAAATTTCATTTTCTCATCTGTACTAGACTAAGTGATCACTTCTTTCAAACCTGAAAAGGAAATTACCCTTAAAAAAAACCTTTGAATTCGCTTTGGGAAACAAAAGCAAACTGTAAACATCATAAGCCATGGCTCAGTTTCAAATCTACATAATATAATGCTGTCTAAATGAGCTTAAATATATTTACCAATTTATATAATATGGATCCATCTTAGATGTGAAGATCTCCTTTTACCCATGGATTTCTAAGATGCTCTCCTAGTAGGGTACTCTGTTAAATTAATCAAGAATCAATGTGCACACCATGGGCCTAGAATAGGGTCTATGTTTAATGGAAAAGCCAAGGAGATGCCCAGAAAATCAGAGAGGACTTTATTATTTCCAGAAGTAAAACTTCTGAAAGACTGTAGTCTTATTTACTAGAGTTTTTTGTTTGTTTTATTGTTTTTTTACTTGCTTGTTTTCCAGTTTCACAAACTGATTGGTGGCAGTTTAACAACAGAAAAAGTAATGATTATAAGTCATTTTTCAAGATCATGTTTTTGACAAAATTAACTCATAAAATCACATTCTCGTGATTAAATAATTGATTGCCTTTTTTCCCAGATCTTTTTCTTCCCAAATTATTGACTTCTTTTTTTGCTGGACAAAAGTCTTAAAACTTTTGTCCTTTTTGTTGAATTGTAGTGAAAGAAAACTTAATGGGATTAAAAGACTTCATTGAAAATCACATAAAGGTCCAAGGGATTCAGAAGGGTAAAACATAGCTTATCTTTTCTATGCTGTCCTTTCCTTGGTTCCTGCAATTAACAGCATGCAATGCTCTATAAACTGGCTGAAGCTCCATCACCATCATCAGGAATAAAAGCCTACAGCCTATTGTATATCTATTAATGACAAGACTATCGGAGGAGTTGAAATTGTCTCATTTGGGTCCCATTCCTCCTCTTTTGGATTATATCTGCATTATATTTTTAAAATTCTAAACAGGGAAGATTAAAAGTAAAATGAATGAATTGTGAACACTAAACCTAAATTACACTTTCAGGAGATTTACTGATCTTTCTAGAGAAGTAATGAGAAGAATTCATGTGGGAGCCCATTACACTTAATCTCAGCCCACAGTGTGCAGTTCCTGAGAGAGAACTTCCACAATTTAGTGCAGTTTTAATGAAATGGTTACTTACAGCAGATGTTTGCTTTCTTAAGCTTAAACCTCATTTTCACTTTTTCTCTCTTGGGAGTTACTCTCTCTTTTATTGTTTTCTTTGACATTTGTTTGACACTGCCTTTTCTTTGCTGCTTTCTTTGGCTTTATGAATAAATTGTGTTATGTGTTGCTTCAAAAGAACTTTCCCACAATCAGTGCTTAACACAACACTCCAAGCGTTGTGCATCTAGCATACTGCATGCCAAATAGTGGGAGCTCAATAACTATCTGTTGAATGGATGAATAAATGAGGGCTCTTTAATAAAGAGGCTGTCTGTTCACTCTCTGTGGGAGTGGCAACACTGCTAAGTCATTTACATTTCTTGGTCACATACGCTTATTAGAGCAGTTGCTACATTACTGTAACTTTTATTTATGACTCAGAAATAATAGAGGAAATGTCATCCTTCCACTCAAGTCCAGTTCTTTGTTGGCTTTCACATGGACTAAGGGTCCTGCTCATCCAACGTAAGACTGCCAGTTAAGACTTCCTAAAAGTGGAAGCATATTTAACTTTGCTGTTCAAAGTGCCTGTTAACTCTTGCTGCCTTGAGGATAAAGTACAATTTCCTTGTTTCAGCAGAGGTCTCCTCAGAGCATGATTCCACCTCCTATGCTGAATTCTGTGCTTCTATGACATTAACCTCACATTTCTTACTACACTGGAATATTTCCCATAATTCTGCCTGTTCTGTTACAGATGCTCATTCTCCCTTCTTTGCCTGGAAAGATACTTTTAGATACAGCTCAAATGCCTCCTCCTTGGCTAAGCCTTTCTTCATAAGTTCTGCCACTGTTTAGTTTTGCTTCATTAGCACTCTGCTCATGTCTCTGAACTAGCACTTGACATTCTTGGAAGTCACGCCTAAGGTCCTCTGGGCATTCTTAGAGCTGAGCTGGGCACTAGGGCAGCCGATTGTCTTTGGGTGAGCTAATGAGTGCATGGATGGCTTGCTTCCTTCCTTCTTCATGCCTGACAGTACCTCCACCCCTCCGTCTTTTTTCTCTTAAAGAAATAAGGAAGGGAAATAGGAAAGACTATGGAGTAAGACAGCAGAAAAGAGTGCTGAAAGAGTATATACAGGTTTTGGTATGACACAGAATTGTGTGAACCCCTGCTCTGCCACTTATTAAACTTTGAACTTGGGAAAATTACTCTATTGCTCAGAGATTCTCTCACAGCTTCAATGTGATAATGCAAGTAAAGCCCATAGCAGTGTGTCTGGCACATAGTAAATGTTTGATAAATGTTATCTGTTAAAGGCCACTATAATTGAATTCTTAGCCAAGAGGAATATTTCCTTAATTGGTATTCACTCCTTCAACAAACTGGATATCAATGTTTTCCATAGCTATAGTAAGTTTTCTGGTAAGTGCCTAGCTTTATTTTAGATGTGTGCTATCCCCCCTCTCATGGAATACTACTGCACTCAGAATAAGAAGACCTGATTTCTAGACTTAGATCGGTACCTTCCTAGCCCTGAGACTCTGGGCAAGGCAATTTATTGGAATAATAATAGCTACTCTGTCTCTCTCTTGAGTATTGAGGGAAACTGAATGAAACAATGTTCATACATGAACTCTTAGGAAATGTTACAGAAAGGTAAAGTACTTGTAAAGCATTTTTTCAGCAGGGTTTTTCTCTTTCTGACTTACTTCACTCTGTATGACAGACTCTAGGTCCGAATGCTGTACACATAGTAAGCACTCTGAGAAGGTTTGGGGGATGACTTGTCTAAACAACAAGATAACTTGACTGTTCTCATAAAAAGTGAATTCATGCTGAATGGCTTACTCAGAAACCTGCTAGGTATAGCAGTTTTTGTGTCCTTATTTAGGGTTTACATAAATTTCTCAATGGGCTCACATAGGGCTCTTCCAGCATCCCCAGTCCCCACCAAAGAGACACATAAACAATTCCTCTCTATAAAGCAAAGTAGTACAGCATGTAAATTCTATGAGATGTAATTTAAAAAATACCTTCTAACATAAAAAAATAACTGGGTATTAACTATGTGATATGGATTATTAGATATGATTTATATTATTGACATAAAATCTTGGATAGTTGAAATACTTTCCTGCTAACAATATTTCTTTTTCCCAGAGAATAATTTGCTTAAAATAGCCTACCATGATAAGAAA